AGTGAGAACTCTAATCAGAGATTCATGTTTCAGGGTCTGCAAACAGTGATGCTTTCCCTACTCCTGTGTTGATTTTGTGGGTTTTAGACTGTGGAGTGGGATTATCCTCTGACAAATGATACAAGTAAAGGTGGACATGCAAACTCAGATACTTAGTGGCATCATATTTCAATTGGTTTTGCGTGAGTCCATCAGTGAAAGCACATTTAGGGAATTAATTGTCAACTTGAGATGCTTCTCAAGTTAAATGGCTTCCAAACGTTGTGTTCAGAAATCTAAAATACCTCTAAGGAGTGAAAGTCTCTGGATTTACTTAGAGTGATATTTGTATCAAAAATCTATGGCATAGTTCTAAACTGGTCCAAAGTCTGGTATTTGAAGATGTTAATAGGAAGACATATTAGAACATGTAGCACTGTGTACTCTATGACACTGAATAAACAAAATGAGATGTCCTGTAGCTAGCTTCCTGCAGAAGCTAGCTCCAGTTTTGCATCTGTTGAAGCAAATATTTAAAGTATTCTTTTCAGGAGTGGAGCATCAGGTGTTCTAGGCTAATGGTTCTTCCTTGTCTGGAAGCCTAATTCCTGCTTGTCTCAACATTTCTTTTGTAATTAATGTGGGTTTTTTACTGGACTCTCTTGATATTGGCAATATAATTTATCTAAACCAGAAAGGATTGGTTAATATTTTAAGATGCATAAAAGTATGACATATAAAGCAGCTGAGATTCCTGGAACACAAGCAGAACTGCTATGAGCAGTAGGGTTTGTTGCCTTGATTTTTTGGGGTTGAATCTATGTTTGGTTTGTAATTGGTTGGTTGGTTGCTTGGCTGGTGTTTTTTTGTTTGGTTTTGGTTTGTGTTTTTTTTTCTTTTTAATGAGAGTAGTAGAGCATATTAAGAGTCTGTGTGTCAGTCAACAGACCTTTACAAATCAATGCTATGTACACGGAGTACGGCAATGATGTAAGAACACTACCTCAAGAAATTCATTGCTTCAAAGGAAGAGGCATTATTTTCCTGATGCATCAGAATTGCCTGGTGACCTGCAAGAACACAAGTCAGAATTCATTATCTGAATTTTTGTTCTTACATGAAAGCATCTCGTGCTTTTCTTAGTGTTAGAACAGACAAACTGAGTTGTCATAGACTTTTCCAGCTTTGCACCTTATGCATCTTGAAGTACTCTTGGGAAATTACTGCGTTTTATAAAGGAGGAAGGAGACAAAAGTGACTGGATCATAGAAGGAAATGTAACACATGACCTAATTATGTGAGCCTTCTATACAACTAAACTTTCATTGTATTTTATAGGAGTTTTGCAGAAGAAAAACTGTATCCTTAAAGTGAATGGTGTCCGAGTCTTGTAAATGTTTGTAAGATGTTTCCACAGCCTGTCATCCCAAGACATTAAGCAATCTTACATTGTTTCTAGAATACTTGGTGCTAGTGCCCCTTTCCCTTCCCCTCTCCCTTCCTTCTCGGATAGAAAAGAAGTAAATAATTGTGAACAACATTCTATTTTAAAAACATTACCTTGTTACTGAGCTATATTCTTGTTTAGTTGAAATAAAATTTTTAATGACACTTGTCTATAAAAAAATCATAAAGAATTCAGCTTAGTGCAGTGTTATTATTGATATAGAAAACATCTGTTTCTGTGCTATGCTATATTATACTTGTGATCTTTATCTCACTTTAAAGTATTTTTGTCTATTGTTGTTATGGCAATGCATGAAGATTGCAGCTGTGTGAATTTATTTTGGAGAATTGCTGATTTGAGAAAAATGTAAGTTTTTTTCATTTGGTTTGTAGGTGGGGTTTTTTTAACCACAGAAGCTGCTATAGGAGTCTTCACATTCCCTATTCATTTAGAGAATAGCAGAGAATGAACATTAAATCAAAGAAATACAGTGCACAGTCGTGCATTAAAATAACAAACTTTTATTAGCACAAGTGAGATTGTTTCATTTATGTGAACTTCCAGCCTATTTCTGTACAAAGATAGGTAATAATTTTCTGAGGATTTGAGAAGTTTCACAGTATTCTTGTCTTCCATGACATAAGCAGTCATCAGCTTGGCTTTTCTTTCTCTCTTTTCTCAGTGAATTACCTCACTGCTGCTCAATAAAATCACTGAACCACTCAGCTGTATCCTCACTAGTTGGTCTAGCAGAGAATACAAAGAAAGAGAAAAGATTCAGTGTCCCGAACCTGTAACTGAATTGACTTTTCAAAGAAACCCTTTTTTTTGCTAAGACTGGTTCTTTTCGATGTTACATAGAAACATCTGAACCTTTGGAAACCTTTTTTTTTTTAATTCTTAGAATGCATTATTGCACTCGTTGCTTGTATTTATTTTAATAACATTCTTATTTATGTTCAAATATTGTTCTACAAAGCACACGTGAACTATTGAACAACACATACACACAGAGTTTAGTACTAAAGTTACTGTATGGTTTATTGTTTTTTTGCTATTAATTTTTGGGTTTGTTTTGGTTTTTTTTTAATTAAGGGCCATTTAATTAATGCGGTCAATCAGGAAGATTGCCAGATGGCATATAAACTTGCTTACCACTCAAAAATCCCCATCCAAATTTGTGGGTATTGCAAACCAGGCAGCTTCTCAAAGCCCAGCTGCTTTACTGAGAAGAAAGTGGAATATCTGCAGTCTAAATTTGAGGCATTGAGAAGAAACTGAAATCATTCAATACTGATGTGGAGGTGCAGTAATCCAAGTTAAATCAAATGCTGCAGTTATTCTTTAGATTTGGAAGATGAGGTTATACCTCTCTGTCTAGTTGTAATACTAACAGCTTTTTGCCAATTTGACAAATTCCATGCAATGCGGAATTAGATCAATGAAATTTCCTTGAGAAAAATTATCAATTGTATATGATGTACCTTTCTGATATTTTAAATCTGCATTTTTGTATGCAAATACTGCTATTTGTCAAACAGCAATTGTCTAAATCAATACTGTGTACTATTCGTCCTACTTGCCTGTTAGCTACAACTATAGGCAACTCTTGAATCCACATTTCTTGCACAAGGTTTCTTGACAGAAAAATGATGGTAGTTGACTAAAAATGAAAAAAGGTATGGTTTAGTTATACAAATTCAAATGTAAAAGGAATGATGGAGGGCAGCCTATATCCTTGCTCTGTTGAAACAGTCATCAGAAAGCCAAAAGTTAATCAAGCAGGGAACAGTTGAAAACCTCATTTAAAGAAATCACATCTGTTTAGGGGGAGAAAAACCTGAGGCATATGCTTCAATTTCTTTTAAACTGTAATCCATACAGTGGTTTACATCTGCTAAGAAATATGGAACTTTTCACACCTCTTTAAAGCACAATTAAACTGTATTTATTTTAATACATAATGTGTTCCAAATATGTAATACCTTTTCTGAAATGACTCATAGATGATTGATTTCATAGTTCTTTGTCATATAACTTTCCAGGTCCTTTGAATTAGTTTGTGTATTAACCATATATGAAATTTAAAGGAAAAGCTGTTGAAACAGTGCAAAATGATGCCAGGAACTTCATTGCAGTGGTCAATTTATATCAAGGCAACAAATTACCTAGAGGAGGGAGAGGGGAGTGGAAAGACAGTTTTCTGAAGCAGTAAAATAAAACATTACAGAGAAGAAAATGTAGTTCAAGGACTTTAGTCACAAAACTTTCATTTATGTTTAGGCTAGCTGTTACTGAATGTTGCTTATTAAAATAGATGTCTCCCTAGAGTGTTGTTTAACATGGTGGAGTCCCGGCAATCTGACCATACTGCCCTGAGTTCAAAGTACAGCAGTGAGAGTAGCTTTAGGAGCTACATAGGACAACCAAAAATATTTCAGGTAAAGATTCGGGGGGTTGTATCTCATTCTTTTGTGTATGAAAAGGAGCTTGGTACTCCACTGTGTGTCTATAATGATTACCTCTATATTTTAAATTCTAATTGAATGGTACCTCTTCTGATTTTAAATTCTCTATGACTTTTACGTATCTGATGTTGGTATTTAAAATCTGCCTTTTTGTATTTTCTGCTTTACTCAGATCCATTAACATCAGGTTTCTTTTGTAAAATGAAATATATGAAAATACATGTGTATGCATACATTATTTGAAAGACATTTTAATTAGATGATCACATACTGTATACCGTAAGCCACATGCATCAGTCAGTACGTGGTCATTTAATAGCAGCAGCTAGTCAGTGTTTTGCTTGATTACCCTTCAGCTAGACCCTAATCAAGTTATAAACAACTGAAAATTGGGCTTTTTGAATACATTAGAAATAGAGAACTTGCCTATTTTGTGTTAGCAGAAGAGATACAGATTATCATTTACAGTCTGACCTACACTATTTCGGTGTCATCTTGGGAAAAAAATTCTCTGAGAGCCTCAGCTCTCTTCCTGCAAAATGGGAATGATTTTACAGTAGTAGAAAATCCAGTTGTTATTATGAGTTGCCAATATTACAGCTATATGGAGGATTTAAGTATGAACATTTTGGTCTCTTTCAATGTGTGTCCATTTCACATTTTCTGGGTCTAGCAGAGCACTTTTATTTTAAGAATGTTTTTTCATTGCTAAGTGAATAGTTGATGAAAAAACAACAGAGGAGGAGCATACACTCAAAAAAAATATTTTTGTCTTCAATATGTCCTTTGTCAAATGGAGCTATTTGACAGCATCTCTTCATGACAGATTTTTAAGAAATGAATCAGACAAATAAATATTGAAAAAAATATGCAGCACTGTTTGAAGTGAAAATAATACTGAATATTTTTCAGGGAACTCCTTGTAACAGGGTGATAATATAAAAATACTCTCAAATGTCATTTCCTATTAATATGCAAGTAACTGTGTGTATTTTCTTCCTGACTTCTTAGCAGTTCCATTTTTTGGTGATTCTACAGGTGAAGCTCCTTTATTTGAGCTACAAAATTTAATCATGTGTTCATCCCATTGTTCTGTCTTGTTGCAGAGGATCTTGATGATCTCAGAATGGAAGGAGTAACAAGTGTGATATCTTCTGGGAACAAATTCAATCAGACTCGAAGTGCTCATACGGCTGAGCCTCAAGCAAAGGTCACATTGAATATCTGTGCAAGATGTGCCAGGTAAAAAGCAAAAAAAACCCCAGATCATGCTAGCCAGTACCTTCTTTTCCCTGGATTTTTGGCTATGTGTTGTGCTTATGGGCCAGGCGATGACCTCTCCTGTGCTAAAGAAAAAATAATTGCTTAGCTACTGGCTACACTATGACCTCTGGCATTTGAATTGTGCAACTTATGTTTATGCTTGATATGTCACATCAACAATGAATCAAAGAACATAGTTAGTCTTAGGCCTTACTTCACAGCTTGAAACCATTTTAAGCCTTTCTGTCTCTGAATTTCATTAGTTATTTGAGCTTCTGTGGTTTTTCAGTGGATGAATCAGGGAATTTAAAGGTTCAAATCCAATTTGAAAAGCACCTGTATAAATGGAGATTTGGTTGCACAGGTGCAGTCCAGGATTTCAAATAGTTGCTTCTTAGCGCTTTATAATCTCATCCTGTTTCACCTCTGAGAAATAATTTAATCAAGTTGAACCCCTTTTGGTTTTGACAGCTGGAAATAATTCTTGTATTTACAGTATGAAGGCCAAATAAACAGGTTGGTATTCCTGTACACTAGTCAACTTGAGAATGCAACACTAACAGAAACCCCTTAAATTTCCTGGATGAATTCTTCTATGTAGACAAAAGCTCATTTGGAGAAAGGATTTAAGCCTGTTTAAATGACAAAACTAGCCTTCTCACCCTTCGGTTAATGGTTCAGATTAGCAAGAACAATACAGAGGCATGCCAATTTTATCTGCCAGCCTTTGCCAATGGCTGCTCTATTGTGTAGTTTGAGAGGGGATTAGCTGCTTGTAAATAAAAAGCAACCTGTGGTGAAATTAAGTCAAAAGTCTGGCCATATGCCACCCTACGTTTCTACTTTTTTCCCCATTTTGCTCGTAAATTACTAGTTTTATAAAGCACTTATGCAGGCAGAGGTGCTTCAAAACATTTTCTGAGACTCTGGAAGCATTAACTACAGGCATACTGAATCACCCATGAAATAGCATCTCTTTAGCAGGTTTGTGGAGCCTCAGGGAACTTCAGCTCACAGTACTGTCAGAGTACTGGATGGCCTTGCAATTCTAGAGAGTTTTGCTGTCAGCAGCAGCGTGGCCTTATGCTTTAAGAAAAGAGCAAACATGCTAGTCATGGGATTCTTCCCAATTCACCACAAACAAATTGCTTATGTTGTAAAACGTCTTCGAACAACTAACTACATGAAAGTGTGGCACTTGTTTTTTTTACCTGGCATCCATTGTCCAGGTATTAGCAACTAGAAAGGTAAGGAATGTAGAAATGTTAAGTTTTCTACGTGGTCTTTCTGAAATTACAATAACATATGGATTACTATGAAGGTTAATTAAATTTCGAATTCCCTAAAGTAGCCGCTAACAGCAGGTGCCAAGATTCTATATGTTCTCTCAATCCTGCACGTCAGGGAGCAAACGGCTCAGATCTTGAGCCAAACCTAGCAACCTTGGACAATTACTATTGTCCTTTAAATACCTGTACTGTATGACTGCCATCTAAAATATGAGCTGTGAGAGAATGATCTCATAAAATCCCTTTTGCCACTTCACTTATATGAGAGAATGCAAAACAGTGTTTTATTTTGCCTATACACCTTCATTTTATTCCCTTCTATACCATCTCATCAGGAGCAAGGGAAGTCAAAAGAGAGAAATGGGTGTTGCTGTTGTATTCACTAGTGAGGAAAATAGCATTAATTCTTCGGGGTGGTAACGTTAGTCTATCTATTCTTTTGGAGCATTCCTTCCTTCTTTCTGAGTCTTAAGACACCTTTCCTCTCTTACTTCAAGACAGAGTACAGTTAGCTTTCTCTCTGGTACCTTCACAGGGGTTTTGTCCAGAGCCTTCTTGCAGCTGAGGTAGTGGGTACAGAGAGCTGCATGAAGCAAATGGTTTCAAGGACATGAAGACAGAGGTTTTTTCGTATTTGGTTTCAAGAGCAATTAGATTTGGTTTTGAGAACAATTAGATTTTCTGTTACTCAGTGATATAGCCATTCAAAATACTGTGCTATAAAATTACAATCTAAGTATTTTAGTCATCTCTCTGGAAGTTTCTCAGTGTTGGCATTTATTTCCATTGTAGTGACAAAGCCTAGTATTTAAGTTATTAGTGTATTTATTTGTTTTAGAAATTATATTTTTATACTTTCATATTCTGTTTTATAAACAGTCTTGTGTGCTGTACAGGGTGTATATTAATACTATGAGATTTGATTGTAGGCATGTTTGAATATAATTGAAAATTAAGTCAATATAAGTTGTTATGCATATTTTTTGGTACAATTAAACAGGTGTCATTCTTAATTTTACACATTTTTCAGTTATACAAAGTGATTTCAAATGAATGGAGCTATTAATGGCAGTGGGTGTTCTGTAGATAATAGGGTTTGTCAAATCAGATTACCAGATTGGATTTGCTGAAGGTATTTTAGCTGTCTTTGGGAGAAATATGACTTTTTACCTGAAATTTAATTGGCAAAGTTCCAAATGTTGGAATATGTGCTTCTTGGCTCAGACAAAAAGTTTAATTTTGCACTTGCATTTGCATAATCTGTTTCTTTCACCTTGCTGTATTTTTTTAAAGGCTTTGCTCTGATTAGTCTTCAGTCAATTTACCTCCTATGACACCTTCATCAGAAGTTTCCTTGCTTCTTTGGGTATGTTGGAGCTTTTCTGAGAGAGATTTATTTAAGCAATTGAAGGAGTTCTTCAGTACTAGCTTTAATTAATTTGGCTTAATATTTTGTATCTCACTTTGAAAGGACAAATGTCTTATTGAAGTTTCACACTACTTCTTCATTAAAATAGTGTGTAAGTTTTAGACCCTCCTGCTACTAGGATTACATTTTCTTGCTCTAGATCATTAGAACTTCTTAATTATTTGAGAATTAGAGTGAACAGGTCTATGAGTACGTATAGGCTGCCTTAGCCTGAGAGGAATGCTGGTTTCATTCTGAAATCACCTGCAGTATGGTACAGTGCAGCTATATGTATCATACTTTCTGTGGCTTCTGTAGCTTCCTACAGTGAGAGCACAGTGAGTTGTGAGAAGAATGCACTGAACCAACTGTTTACCCCATGCTGAGATATTTGTGATCAGATTTCATTTAGCAGTTTAGCTTCTTCTCTTTGTACCACTCAAATATGTGAGAAAATCAGGACCCAGATTCTAGAATGTAATAATAGGAGGACAATACTAGCAGCTTCTGGTTCCCTATTTCTCTGTCAAAACAACCTTATTCCTTTGCTAGTAACTGGCATTTAGTTCAAACTGGTACTAAATGTCCTGTGTAGCTGGTTTTCTCTGACTGTCACTAGGCTGTTAGTCTGCACAGTAATAGTTCTTCCCTTGGAATTCCCATATTCTATTTCTGAGACAGTGTTTAACACAGTATCAGAGGGACATCTTAAAAAAAAAGAACGCCAAATGGAAGTGACTATAATTAGAGATAAAAATCTACTTTGTTACAAGGCAAATTAAATCCAGTTTATATTGTGGGGGAAACCTGCAATGGTGTTGAGGCACTGAATTTGGGAAAACATTCTCCCTTGCCTTAAGTTTCTTAGACTTGTTCACGAATTATAAGAAATGAGACTGGAGATAATTAGAACTAAAATAAACCCCCACACTTGTAATTATTTTTTTTTTTTTAGAAACTGGTATATAACCTTCAATGCTGATAATTTCACCAATCATCTTCAAAGAATAAATAGTTAGATACTTGTGACTGATCAAGTCAGTAATTTTAAAAAAAAGTGTAGTTCTCCGTCTAGACATCTAGGAGATAAAGATGGAGGATTCTTTCAAGCTATCACACCAAATTGTTTTTTACAGCTTGTGATTTAAAAAACTAAAAAAATCCCCCCCCAAAACAACCAACCAAAAAAAAATCCCAACCCAAAAAAAAACCCAACCAAACTAAACCAAACAAAAAACCTAAACAACAAACAGAGAGAAGGAGAAATAAAAGGAGGGGTTAATTCTGCTGGAGTATAAATTGGTTTGTAGTCTGGCATATAGCTGTAAGAAACAGAGAGCTTACTGTTTTCTGTATAGATGTTTCACACACGATGAGCGAAATGCAGATGGATAACAGCTTTAAGAGGTTTTTCAAATGGGGAAGTAGCTACAGAACAATGTTATTCCCATAGCTGTTCTTGGACTACAGGGCAAGTTAAGCAGCATATTAAGTCATCTAAATGAAGGGGTGACATCATTCACAAGGTGGAACAAAGCAAGGTTTATAGATACAGAAAAAAGACTACTAAAGAAACTCCCTGGAAAGTTTGTGTCTTTCTATTTAGTTGGAAAATTAACCAAGACACTTTTAGTACAACTGATCTGGATTTAGATTATTTGAGGAAAATTATTATAATTCCTTCATCAAAGAGCACAACTGGTTTGACTGACTTACAGTAGACTGACTCATTATAACATGTTTTTGTGAATCCTTTCTCACATACAGGCAAAACAAATTAATTTCAGGTTTGGCTGATGAATCAGAAGACACAATCACAGATTAGCAAAACTCATAGAGATTTAAATGACAATTTGTAAAAGCAAAATGACACTTCCATATTTTCTCATATGTATTTTGACTTGCACTTGAGTGATTTGCAAGAATTTAATTGACCACAAGGTAAAAGATAATATTAATGTACTATTGAATGAATTATAGAGGTTTTTCTTTTCTTCTTTTTTTTTAAGGACCACCCATTAGCCTTGTATGCCCACTGCCATGCTCAAAAGTTAAATCTTGTTCTTGTGGAGTCTTGCCAATGCATTCCTGAAAGTAAGAAGCTTTTTGTTTTTAATAGCGCAAGGGCTGCATTCATTCTTTTTAACATCAATAGAATACAAAAAAGGGGTTGCATGTGATTAAAAAAGAAATGGGATTATAGAAAACATACTGTGCCACAAGCTTGAAGGCTTCTGAACAAGAATGTTGGGAAGGAGCGCTAGTCGCATACAAATGTAGGT